TTCCTTCCTTCCTTCCTTCCTTCCTTCCTTCCTTCCTTCCTTCCTTCCTTCCTTCCTTCCATACAATATCAATTCTGGGTTGATATTATGTGTTGTGTTACTGCTCCTACTTCTATGAAGTATACTAATTATTATTGTAAAATTGACAAGAATATTATTATTGTTAGTACACCTATGGCAAATGCATTCATCTTGCTCTTGTTATAATATGCTAGCCAGTTTAGTTCATTTTAGGCCTCATTTAGGCCCTGCCAGGAATTTATTCCATATCCAAAAGCCTTGGGTGCTGCAGCCCTAATGTTCTCTCATTCCTTAATGAGTGTTCACAAAACATGCTTTTTCAATGACATAGGACATTTTTATCACACTTAGGAAACCATTACTACATTCAATGATATAGCTGGTGGCTCTACCCATCCCTCTCCAAATGCAGTAGTGGCAGAGGTTAATAGTTGTAAAGATGGGAGTATGCAGTAATTATATTCCCAAGTGTTGATATATTTGGAAGAAACAAAAATGATGGCTTGAGACTTAATTGACAATATCTCAAATAATAATATGCCTACCCTATGTTGGTAGACCTGCAATCTGATTGCCCACCACTTATACTGTACATTTTTACTTACTTTGAAGATGTTCAGCTGTTGCCTCCAATATCAGTTTTTGCCTTTCTTCAGCTTGCAGCTTGCCTGAAAATAATAAGGAATGTTAGATAATTTTCTGCAGTTTTTTTTCTCTTTTGCCTGAGCAGTAGGATTTGTTTTGTAAGTGGGAGATGGATTTAGGTCTAGCCTACAGAAATCCAAACTGCATAATGGTTTGAACATTGCAGCCTTTAATCTACAATGACTCTCTTTTTTCTAAATCCAAATGAGTCAGCATTGTTTATCACACTAAGCACAGCAGTACACTTTGTCATTTGCTTAGTATCTTTTGAGTACTCTGACAACTCAAGGATAAATAAGCCCTACATTTCATGAAAAATTAAGAACTTTAACTTATTATAGCAATCATATTGTTTATCTGAGAAAGTCAGAAGTTCAGGGAGATATGTGGCAAATGTTCCATTAGACTAAGCTATCACAGAATGCATGAGGAAATTGCTTGCCTGAAAGCATTTAAATTTCTGTTTGTACAAAGCTAGCACTTAAGGGTAAATCATTATAAAGGTATTTTGATTTGCAGGATCTTTCAAATAACCACTTTACAATATACATTTTAATTTTATTCAATTGTATCTCAATGACTGTATCTCAATCAGCTGCTATTATGCCAGAAACAGGCAGCTAGTTTTAAAATAAATGGGGGGGGGGTATCCCAAACTCTACCAGACCCTCTCTTGCCCAAGGCCCTGGTGAACTGTGCAATTCTGTTTCAATTCTAGAACTTTGTAGTGTTCTATTGTATAAATTGCATCACCTGGTTTTAATTGTTAAAGTTTATCTAAATGGAAGCTTATGAGACTTCTACCTAAATTAAGTCTATCATAATCCAGCTTCTTGTTCATTTTGTTGATTCTTTACCTTCCACTTCACTGAGGTATTCCATTGTGAGTCTCTTTTCTTCTTGCAAATTATCAATTCTTGAATATAGACTCACACGTTCATCCTCCATGTCTTTTAGGGCTTGTTGAAGTTGAGAGTTCTGGGTGTCTGACCACTGCAGAGAAGAAACAATCACAGTAAGAAATACTTAAAGAAAAAAAACTTGAGATTCTTTTTATAAATCACTTTTGGCCATCATATCAAAGAGTATTCAACTTCTAAGCAGAAATAACATGACAGCTGTTACATTGATTGATAGTTTAGCATGTAAATGAGATGCCTTTCGTTTGAATACTGGAGTTCTACCTCTTTGAAAACAAGGTTTCTGGATGGCAGTACTGTATCTTCAGTGGCTAGATTTTTTCTTACTTGTCATTATTTGGATTCCACTTAATCTCTCCCATGTTGATTTTACACGTAAACACCATTTAAAATATCTGTTGTTTTTGGGGAAATGTAGCACTCAGATTACTTTTGTGGTTTATTTCAACACTTTTGCTTATTTGACTAGCGGGTATCTTTACAGTCTGGTTCCCCCGCTGTAAATCAAAATTAATTTCGGCAGTTCCTTGGTTAATACTAGTTTTATTTTAATTATGGATCTATATGTTCTCAAGCATACTGCATTTTCAATATGTATAGTTGTTGTGTTTATCTTAGTTATTAATGTTTGTTTACTGGCTTGGCTGTTAGGCTGCAAACTAATTTTATTGGATATAATGTTGTAATTACTGTGTTCTTCTGATCTGTACCATGCTTCTGTAAAGGTGCATCAATAACAACAACAGCAGCAGCAATTATGTCCCTTTGTGTTGGGATGATGAGCTACTGTCCTCAGCAGGCTGGTAACAATTCACCATAAATGCTTGCATGACCCATGCTCTCCTTCTCAATTCTGTCACTAAGAACTGCTCGCTTGACAGATGCTGCTGTGAAATGAAAACCTGGAATATAGCCTCACAAAGAGGTTACCTGCAGTTTATTCTCCAAGATATGCAGCTTGTTTTGGACTTCAGTGTGCTGGTCAGTTAGTTGGCTCCAATCTTTTTTTAAGGTGTTAAGTTGATCTTTCCAGAGGGTACAGTCATCCTCAGCAGCAGTTAGGGCTCTCTAAGAGAAACAGCATCACATCATTGGTAAAGTTGACTAACATGCTTTTTTGAGAGTCCTATAAAAACTAGAAGAAAGAGTACTTGTTTATTGTAAACATGGCAATTATCTCTTCTTAAGATCTGATAGGAGATCTGATTAGGCGAAAAACAGTATGCCACAGAAAATAATGCTCTTGAATGGCATATATATATTTTTTTCTGTATCTAGCCCATTTTCTTTTTCCCCATATCTGCATATTTGCAAACTGGTCATGAGATTTGTGGAAGTATCATTTTAGAGTGATCGACGTTAGCCAGTTTATTTGCTTTGAAAGATGTGTGCTGCAAAGAGCTGCATGTACTTGCTGTTTTTAAATGGATTTTCAACTAACTGGACAATCTCTGAAGCAACTGGGATCTTAATTTACACCCATTTCTCTGTGGCAAAGCAGAGGTTGCTATTTTCACTTAAAGAGATGCTGTACAAAACCGTGAAAAAACGTTTTAGCAGAATTTTTTTCTACTCTTCTATACTACATACCAACTATAGTACCATCAAGTAGAGAAATAAAGAACAAGAAATTGTAGGATCAAACTTTATTATATGTTATATATGTAATTAAAACATATTTATATTCACCAAGCATGGCCTCAGAAAATGTTTCTCACATGAATTTGGCTGTTAAAAATAGTTCCTCTGGAAGCTGGTATGGTACCTTCCTTCCCAGAACTTTAAGAGGTAGCAGCTTTGAGAGATAGAAGAGGAAGCAAATGGTTGTTGTTATGGTCCTTCCAGTCACTCTTGACTTCTGGTGACTTTATGAACAGGTCACCAGGGAGAACTAGAACTCAAAAGTTATTGGGAGTTAAATCTCCCATACTCCACGCCTGCCTGGTTGCTGTGACCACACATTTAACCATATCATTTAGTTGGCCCTCAGTCTGGGCTTCACCAGACAATTGCTTCAACATGAAACTTTGTAAGCTGACCCTGCAATCCAGTGTCAAATGGAGTATTCATCTCTCTTGCAATGATCTGGAGCAATGAATGAATGGAGAATGAAAGGGATAGCTGTACGGCAGATAGAAAGCAAATCTGCTATATTTATATGCGCCTTGATACAACTGAAAACAATAGATATGAAATAAAATGACATTATTAAAATCTTCCTAATGATCATCTAGAAGCTGCAGTCATTAAAAGCATTGCTGCAAGTTTTCTTTGTGCTTCAGTGCTCAACATAGAGAATCCCAGTTTTTTTTTTTTTTTTAAGATATACAATAAATGCAAAGGTGTCAGAACATGGCAGGTTATACATGTGGGTAACTGGTCTACAATTCTTGCAAAATTGGAAAATACTGACACACTGCTGAAAATTAATTCAAAGTATTAACCAATACTTCCACTGATTAACTACATTAGTTTTCTAAATAGCTTTCTTCTTTGTGAAGGGCTGTTCCCCGGAATCTGAGTCTGAAGAAGAGTAGCTGACTCAAGATCTGAGGCAGAGACTTTCTAATTTGTAGACATTTATATGCTTTATGTAGGTACATCATTTCCCACTCACATACACTTCTAGTTGTTCTTCAGAATCATTTCATTTCTCTGTATTCATCAAAATGTCCTTTTTACACTTTGGGTAGAAAATAACATACTTGAGACAAAACAGCATAGCCCTGCATACAATGGGTACAAATGCCTCCAGTTGGGGAATTTCTGCCCCAAGCAGAATGATCCACAGTGAATCAAGGAATTTCCTGACATCATTGAAGGTCTGAAAACCTCTCATGATATTTAGAGCTTCAGTAATATACAAGCACATTCGTATAGGTCTCAGGCTGATATCCTTGCCTACCTGGGCATTCTGAAGTTGCTTTTGTGCCTGCATTTTCTCCTCAAGCAGTTTCTGAAGAGATTCTTTTACTTTCTGCTCATAGTTCTGCTTTTGATCTTCCATCTCCAGGAGAATCCTTTTTAAGCCCCGTTTTGAATAACTCTAAACAGAGAGAGAGAGAGAGCTGAAGCAAAATTCTTCATCTTAAAATATTTGCTTGACTGTGGTTTATCTGATTGGTTTATCCAATAAACTTTATCTCATTGGGATATGTCAGTATGGGAGTAATGCAGGACTTAGTGTAGATCTAGCCCTTTATAAACCAAAAGATCCATAGTTCATCAAGCTAAGCTTCTTGTGCTAGAGAATTTTTGCAAGCAATAATGGTCTAAACTTATTTCTTAGAGAATGGAAAAGAAAACTGGCCAACTTAACATTGTGAAAGACACTAGCATTTTAAACACTCTTGGTTTAAGATTCCAGAGATGACCAACAGACCAAACTTTGAAATGTTATCCAGCCCACATTATATCCATTAAAATGGCAATCAGGTTATGGTTAATTATTTTCAAAGTGTTGTTTTTATTAAAAAAAAATTAAAAATGCCCTCTAGGAGTCAACTTCTGGTGACTGCATCCACAGAATTTTCTTAGCAGTGTCATACTTTTATTACATATATGGAAAAGAAACAACATGTTGATTTCATGTGAAATGTTTCTGTACTGCAATTTTATATGCACTCTAGCAAAACCAAAGTGACAAATCTTGAGGTGTTCTTTTGGCAATGACCACATAAATCTGAATATATGTGAGACACAACCATAAAAAATAGCAGAAGTACAGTACAACAGAAAAGTGCAAGAAAAAGAAAGATTTCATGATGCTCAGGAAACAAATTATTGCTCAAAGAACATCAAATATTATCATTCTTCAGACCTCTGAGGAAGAGTTATAATACAATGAGTGGTAAGCTATCTTCTATCTGGAGAACACAGCAGCTTCCCAAACAACGGAAGGTGACTGTTCTCCATGTAAATATTAAAATTATCTAAACTTTAAAACTTTCCCTTTTTGAGCCAAATATATTACCTGGGTACAGATTTGCAGTTGATTCTCCAGCACACCCAGCCTGCATTTGAGTTTGTCTTCATTAAACTGACCCTAATAGAATAAAAAAAAGTTAAAAATTGTAAATAATCAGTTTGCAAATAAGATTCTCCTGACTCTCAGATAGAAAGACAGATCCTGTGCCTTGCTTTATTCATATTTGAGAATATGTGTCAGATCCTTCAGAAATAAAATACATTTGAAATCAATAGGTTTCAGTAAAAGAAAATGAAGCATATCCATATCACTTACACTTAATAAAATGTAACAGCTATCCTAATTACTAAAAGGTAATTATGCTAATTATTTATTTTAAAATCCCAGAGAGTAATAGGCAGTGGGGGCAGCTGCAAACAGGCCGATCATCAGCCAGGGTTAACAGAGTTATATACATGAACATGCCTACCAGATATACACTTACAGACACTCATGATATTATTATTTTTTTAACATGTATTCCCGTTCACAAAAAATGATACTTCTTTCTGTGTAATATTCATCACAATCCACATCTTCATTAAGCCCAGTCTAAGTCTAGCTGCCTTGGTAACCTTTGCCAATCCAAAGAGTAGCTAATACTGCAACCCCATGTACATTTATAGTAAAGGTTATGGGACTGCTGAGTATAAGACACATAGGTTTTCTTTCTAAGTATCCAACGAATCTTATGCTGTACATAAACATTTAAATAGAATACAATGTTAGTTTTTATGGATGCAAAAAACTTAGTTGTGCAGCCAAATTCATAGGTCTGGAGTGGGGGCAGAAATGCCACTCCCCCCACACAAGATAGTCTAGTTAGAATACAACCCATCTTCAGTGAGAGAGCAGAATAGAAGCCTGCTAAATAGAAGCATGAGAAAGGCCTACATTGTGTATAGTTCATTGGAGAACGGAATTGCAGGGAAGGACTACACCAAGTTCTTCAAAAGTATGTAATTTCCTTGTTTCACCAGCTGGAGGGTGACATCATCATAAAAAGCGGGGGGGGGCGGGTTGGTGTTTTTCTGGATTACTGGGAAACTGTGGAGTCCTTGGTGCTCTCTGAGGTTGGTTGTTTGCTTGCAGACATTTCATTATCTGACTAAGTAACATCATCAGTGCTAGTGAGTGTGGGGTTTGTTCCCTGATATATGGTAGCTTGCCCTGCCAGTGTTGGTGGGAGTGTGGTTTACCAAGGATAAAAGGTTTTGTTTGTTTGCTTGCTTGGTTAATTCATAAGCCTCAATTGGAGGTTAATCTGGAAGGTTTGGCAGGTGGAAGGAGGGACATCTTAAGGCTTCTGCTTCCATGTCTATCTTATTTTGTCAGGAGGGAACAAAACTGCCTATTTTGCTATAGAATTTTGGCAATTTTACTGGGGAGCTACATGGAGTCCCTAGGTTGCCCAGCCCTGCATTACCTAGTTTTGAACTTGATAGCCTGTTGTACGTGTTGAAATGCATGTTCCTCCTTTGCTTTGTCTTTAAATTGGTATTATAATTTAAAAGCAAAATGGTGCAAAGCAAAACAGGAGATTATCAATGGATAAGGACAAGAGTTTGACTGCAGATCTTCTCTTCTGCTTTTCTTGGGAACTGAATGCTTTAAAGCATTTCGAAGAGGCATTTATATTTCATCTAATTTGCCTCTCTTATTCCATTTATCAATGGCAAATCTGAAAGTTTCAGCTCTGTATTCATTTGGAAATCCCAAAAGCAGGTTGTTGCTTTAATGAATAGTAAACTGAAAGCATGGGCTACACTGGAAACTGTTATACAGAAAACAAATGAGAGAGTATACACCTAGCTGTTGCTAAGCAGAGGTTTAATTACCACTTCCTGTCAGTAAGGATGTTAAACTATTTTTTCCCTGCTTTTCTGGACCCTGACAGCAGTGTTTCAAAGAGGAAGTCTCAAACCACAATGGTATCATGCAGTAAATGTTGAGCAGTTCTGTTCTAAGAGAGCTCTCAGTGAGCTTAGTTTGGAAATTTGACTGAATTGCAATTTCTTTTCTGCATCAAGCATTTTAGGGTGCCACTTTGGCATCAGCTCTATTCATTGGAGAGCAAAATTCTGTTCTTTGAACAAGTGATCTTAACTATGATACTACAGATAATAATAATCTTAATATGACCATTTGGTACCTTCCAAGATCTTTCTGCTGCTTCTAGCAACATGGCTAAAAGCTCTTGTAAAATCACCATCTTCTGCTTCAATACTAGTTCTCGATGTAGTGCCTCCTAAAAAGAAGAAACCAAAGTCACAACATGTTTAAATGATATCTCAGGCATGCTCAGAACTCATTGTCCTAACCCTAGGACTAGCGAGGATTCCCTTATTCTACCATCAACTTGCTTTTTCAAAAGGAAACATTTGATTATAGCAATTTGACTGTTTCACAGAGAATCCAAGGCTTTTTCATCTACTAAGTCTGTTCTGAGGCTGACTGTATAAAGTCTAACTTACATGAGTCTGGTACTGATCTGCATTTGCCAATTATATCCTTTTAAATCTTAAAATTATACTTTTAAAACTATAAAATTATACGTCTTGTATCTTTTTCAGTCTTTCACTTCCTCCCTAATTTTATCACACCGATGCCGGAAATGCCACTTAATATGTTCTACAGTTCCCACTCTTGTTAGTGCAAGGTGAACTTCCCGCACAAAGATCTAATCAATATATCTGACGGGTAACTTCTGTTGAACACCAGCAGTTCTCCAGATTTATTTATTTATTTTGTGTTTGTTTTTTATGTAATTTATATGGCCACCCACCTTAAACATATTACTCTGGGCAGCTAACAGAGAATAAAAACAAGATTAAAATATCATAGAAAAACAGTATATAAATATAGGAGCTAAGATAAAAATAACAACACAGTCAACATAACCAGGATATGGCCTTAACAATATACCCTGGGCCCAAGGCTTGGCAACAAAATCTGGTTTTGTTACGGAAAACCAGTAGGGTTGGGACATGTCTAACCTCCAATGGATGATGTTCCAGGGGGCAGGGAGCACAACAGAAAAGGGTCTCCTTGGGGCACTTGCCAGATGACACTTCTAACAGATGGGACCTGGAGCATACCTCTACTGGTGGATCTCACAGGATGGGTAGATACAACTTGGGAGAGATGGTCCCACAAGTAACCTGGCCCCATGCCTTGAAGGGTTTTATAGATCACTACCAGCACCTTGAATTAAAAGCTTTAAAGCTTTTTCCCACCTTCTGCTCCTAGGGACTAGGGCTGTTATTGAATTGGATTATGTTATTAATTAATGGATAAAATTTCTGCAAATCTGCTTGATAATAAATACTTAAGTGTACTTATTGGTATTTCTTGAGCAATGCAAAGCACTTTCTTTATGTGCTTTTCATTATTTAAATTTATTGGAAGGCTCCTACATCTCCTTAAAGCTGCTGTTGAGGGCTGGGTCAGCTTTCCTAATAATGTGGAACATCAAATGAAGGGACACAATAGGTAATTAGAATTGGAGACACATGGTTAACCAACTTTCCATTCAGGGAAACAGAAAGACATCTAGGTACAAAACTGTACTCCTGAAAAATGAAGTTTATTTCCCTTTGTTCTTAGATGATGACTTAGCTTTACAACTGGTTTCTCTCTTGGGTAGTGAAAAAAGGGATTATTTATTTTTAAAATAATGTAACACAATTTATAAAACTTGCTATCTGATCATTAGTGCCTTTTTTAAATTGAATGGAAGATTTTAAATTGTTTCCTTTGATCACAGGTTCCATCTAGCATTCCTCAGATACCCAGAGCAAACTGACATCAGTTGGATTTTGTATCTCATACCTAAACCAAAATGGCAGATCAGGGAAATAGTGAAATCAGGTGGATCAAGCTGCATTTTGTGGAAATATACACATTCTTATTTTTTTCCATGTAGAAATGAATCCTGCACTCAAACTGTTTATTAAGGCATTAAATATGTGTGAAAGTTCATTAAGTGTTCATTAAGACCCTGAAGACAAAAGCTGTTAAAAAAAAAAAAAGCAAGCTGGAGTGTAGCATTCCAGCATTATTGTTTTCAAGTAAATACCTTGTTTTCAATTGCAGTCCTATTCTAAGAAAGTAAGGCTTCAAGTATAAAAAGTAATTTGAAAAGTATGTAACTTATGAAAAGATCCTTCTCCAAAGTTGTCTGAAGTTAATTTTAATTACTCACATTGAGGTAGTTAGAAAGTTGAATGATTTCCTGAAATACAAAGAAACGTATTTATAATCCTAATTGACTTTAACAAAGAAATTTTAACATTTGGCAAAGAAATGCAACCTGCACTGTCAGCCTTGAAATTACAAAACTCACAAAACTTCTAATATACTTCAAGATGGGCAATTTTTACTGCTATTCATCAAAATTCATTATTTAGCTACTGTCTTTTAAAAACATGTTTATGGTAAGAAAACAGTTGGAAACATTGGTAAATACAGAGTTATAAAGAAGTGAGGGTGTTCTTGTGCTCCCCTTCTTGTATGTTTAAATATAGCAACTGCATGATCAAAACCTGATTATTGAAAACCTGGTGAAACTTTATTAATGGCCATATTCAGAAAAGGAGCCATAGTTTGCTTATCTGAAACAACTCTACTCTAATAATTTGCCTGAAAGGCCCAGATTAAGGCCATTGTATGTGGGAAGGTTATCCATGCATTCAGAAATGAGAAAATACCAAATGCTAGTGATTCTCCCTGCCCAACCCCCCCCCCCCCGTACCTTTGCAAAGTAGCTCGTGTGGAACAGCTACATAGAGGTGGTCATGCATCTCAGATATGGCTTTAGAGTGGTAGGTTATCTATACAGCTGATTTATGATGATACATAGCAATTGTCAATTCAGAATGTCTTAAGGAAGGAGGAATCCTATCACCACTTCATGTTTTCCATACCTTATCTAAAATTGCTGTTCCACAACTAAAAACAAAAGAGAAAAGGATTATCAAGGAGATATGACACAGTTGCAATGTAATACTACTGTCAAGTAAGAAGTGAGGTAACAGATTATCCATACAGAATTGACCATATAAAAGTTTGAGACCTAAACAAAAACTGAAAAAGTCACCAAATCAAAAAGTTTTTAAAAATCCTAGAATAATCAAGGAATGCTAGGTAGGCTCTCCAATAGAGTTTTCCACTTGCCACTGTGAACCTTTTTGTGCCTGCTGAAATGTCACTGTGGTGTGCTACCGAAGGAAGGTCTTTATACTATCCATGAATTCATTACTGCACATGTGAAGATTTGCAATACACCTTTGCATCTGTGCAAGCAATAATTTGTATGCACTATGAAATGGAGTCTCTGTACTCTTGGTTACCACTTGGCTTTTTATGAACAGGAACCTGTGCAAATTTTTTCTACCATGGTCATTGGTTTGGTCCTGCTTGACCAAGATAACTGAGGCAGCTTATAAACACAGTGGTGAAAAACTCCAAAGATAACTTCACTGGTGGTGCATAACTGACCACTGTAAACATGGGAAACAGAACTATTGAATCCTGCAACAAGGGGTCTGGAAGGTCTCTTGTAATCATAGGCCAAATGTGAATTGTTGAAAGACAGAATGACATGATAACATTTTGATATGCTTGAAAATGCTTTCCCAGATGTTGTAGATCTGCTGCCTGCGCACAGAAGACTCCTGTGTCAGTGTGGCTTGTTATCATTACTGTATTTTATATAGCTTCAAGAGGATTTTATATGTGGATTATGAAGTTATAGAATGCTATTCTTTAAAGCAAGCAAGAAGCTTCTGGATTTTGGTAAGCTTGGATGGGTAACTGGGGAATCTTGAACCTAAAAAAAAAATCTAAAAATATGAGTCAAACTTTGATTATTTTCTGGGTTGAAAAATTCTGGTCATCTTTACTCAAAATACCCCATATTCATTGTAAAATGCTCAGTATCCTGTCTTAAAGATATCAGTTCCAAAGGGGAAAAAAGCCTGAATAATTTCTTTACTTACTCTGTTTGCTGACCTGAATTTTTCTTTTCAGTGCTCAGTTCTTTTGTGGTTTGTGTACCTACATAAATAAACTCCATTTCAATACTTGTAACAACTGACAGTGAAATACTGCTGCTTTTAGTTGTAAGAGATGCATTCATAAGACAACATATGTTTCTAAAAGTTATGTTCAGACATATAGTATATAATTAAATTTTAAAATATTTAAATCTGAGACAGTTTGCATTGTGGGGCATCAGTGATATTTGCATTAAAAATAGATTCTCAGATAATATACACTAACAGTTACCTATATTAAAAGTACTTGCATGCAAAATCTCCATACATTTGGGAAAGTTCTGAAGAAATATATATATATGGTTTTTTAAAATTAAAAATCTGAAAAAATAACAAAATAACCAAAATTAGACATGGACAGTAAAAAATAGTGAAGCTTATGTTGATATACACATTCTTGTGGATGACTGGCTAAATTTTAAGGCTGATTTTATAGAATGCCACTTACCTTTACAGATTTTGGTAACATTCAAAATGAGCATGCTCTGAGATAATTTGCCAGGTGGGAAAGTATTACTGGACTTGTGTTGTATAGATTTGGTAGGAAGCTGAGAGATAAAAACAGAACAATATTTTGATTCTGTTCCATGTGTTGACCTCAATCCTGAGAAAATAAGCCAATACCCCAATATCTAACACTCCCCAAATTTGTTGGGATTATTGAAGTATCTCTTTTTGAACAGGAACTCTAAATTGCTCCAATACCAATTTTTCTACCCTTGGAGGAGAGAAGAACAGTGTTTAGCTACTATAATTAATTTGCTAAATGGCAAATTATTTTGCCATTAGTAAAGAGAGAAGAAAATCAGCTTCTGAAGCTTCTTTTCTGCTACCTGACACTATTAATGTTTTAGAACAACTCTTTAACCACTTCCTAAAAAAATAAAAAAAAATGTCCAAAAATCTCATAAGATCATGAAATCTTGTGAGGTTTTGGCAACTTCATGCAAGATTTTGCAAACTGGGGGTAGATCCAAGAATGTATGACAATATTTGAAGACATTACTATACACACATGCACACACCATCATATATCCAAAGACTAAAACCATAGGTTGTTCATGGCTAATCTCCCAGGCCAGGTCAACAGAAGAAGTGAAAATGAGCTGCTAAATTCAACAGATAGATTTCCTAGCTAACCATTTTGGAATGGGCTAAAAGCTGTGTTTGCCCCATCATTAAATGTTACCTGGCTGTTAGACAAATAGCTCAGATAGGTCTGAAGTGGTATTCCCCCTAGATTGTCAGAACTGTTTACAGGACACAAGGATATTTTCTTGCCAGGAGGCAACATCATTTTTGTCCTTCCAAGCTCTTCAGTCATTAAATTCCTTCTTCGGAAGAATTCCTTTTGTCGGGGGCTCTGCACTGGTTCCTTTGCTTCTTTGCTTTGGCATTTGCTTGTGAGACGGCATGTGGTCCTGTTGTTTCTTCTGAGCAGGCTTTCGTGCTTCTCACGCCGGCGCTCATATTTTTCTTCATAACTCTCATGCTGGGGCCCTTGCTGGCCAGGAGATTTGGAAAATCCAGTGATCATCCTGACAGCACCTTCACTTCAGGGCACACTTTTCAAATATAGTGGAAACTCACTTTCCTGGAAAAACCAACAGAAAACAGTCAGGACCACCTAGGCTCTGAAGGTTTTTTTTTGTTTTTTGTTTTTTGGTATAAAACTATGCAGATAATATTTCTTTGCCACTGAGTGCCACTGTTGGGAGATACTGTATCAGGGCCCAATTTAAAGTGCTGCTGTTGACCTTTAAAGTCCTGAGGCTCAACAGTTGAGGAGCCAAATATTTGAAAGCACTTGCCTCTCTCTGTAAAACTGCTCATGTACTAAGATTTTCAAGGGATGTTTTTCACGGGCTTCCTTTTCCAGGAGAAGCTTGTTGAGAAGAAGCTAGGCCCAAGGCCTTTTCTTTTGTGAAGCTCCATCTCTAGAATGCTCATGGGACCTGGATTAGCATCCATTCTGCTACCATTTGGGCACAAGATTAACATTTGTTTGCCCAAGTGTGCAGTTTTGTTTTGAGCTTGCTTTGCTTTTCATAATCTGGATCTGTTTCATATTATAATATCACATTTATAACATAGTTTGATTCCTGCATTTTTGCTCATTTATTTACTATCCTGGTATTTTAGGATGAAAGGTGGCTTGAAACACTTCTAATAAATAGATAATATATCCAGCTTCAAAGGTACTGCTATAACAATATAGTCTGAATTCCTAGAAGATCAACCATTCCCAATAGCAGCTGTACAGAAGCTCTACTCCATCAATAAGCAGGGTCATTTCAGAAATTACAGATTTTACCATTCTCCTATTCAAGCTTTTGTTAGTTTAACAACTGGTGGAAAAATTCTAGTGGGATACTCCTATTTCTAAGAAAGATCATTCTTCAACTTAACTCTCTGTTTCCTTTTTTGCAGGTGTTTAGTTACCATGCTTGTTAAAAATATCTGTGCAGTTAAAATTAATTTACATCTGAAACAAAAAGGGCATAACATGTAATCCCTTGAATTACATGTTGAATAATCTTGTTTTCTTTAAATCCTGTTCACCTTTTGCTTACCCTTTAGTGCCACAGTCAGCATGCGTTGCATACTTATGGCTGAGATCAGAAAATGAACAAACAAATGAAAAAAAAAACTTGTTATCTCTTCAAGAATCGACTTCATGAGTGATATTTTCTGAGGACAAAACTTTCAGAAACAAATGTCCCAATGAATAGCTAAAATACAGCTTTTCCACTGGCCATCACTTTCCACTTACAGTACATTTATTTTTGGTGTCCTCTACTTTTCAAAGTCTACCAGATTAGAGATAATATATCACAGTATTCTACTTTTATATATACTTATGTTCACTTTGAAGAAAGCATACAGATCTGAACTCTAAAAACTGTTGCTAATGCCAGAAATCTGCTTTCCTTTCCTTTTTCTTTGTGTTTATACTACAGTCAAGTATCATGGGTAGACTGTGGCGCAAATAATTCAAAAGGACGAGGGCCTTTGTTCTGGTATTACCTCACTGCTCTGTATGTTTATAGGAAGAGCAGGTTTTTTAACCTCCTCCTCTCCTCCTTAAAATTCAAAACCATTTGAAAAAATACTCTCATCCATACTATTTCTATTCACCTCCACCTATTGGCCTGTAAGTTCCTCCTTGTCTTGAACTAAGCAGATAATCTTTGCAGAAATTCTAACAATGGTGATTGGAAAAACAAATAATATGAACAACCTGCACATTCACAAAAAATTGTTAGACATAAATTGGCCTTCCCTTGCGTTTTAATGAACAACAGCATTTAACTTAAACTGGAATAGGCATTTATTGAAGTAAGCTGTGTGCTAGATCTAATATATATGGCAACGTGGATTGGGCCCAAATGTGGGAACCAATATTAACTGGGATAACTCACTAGGAAAAACTCACTGGTTTCATTGGATCTACATTGACTGTAGCTTCACTTCCAAGCCCAGTTTGAGGGACCAGTTTTGATTAGCATCCTTTACAACTTGGAATTCAGACAGCATAAGAAGCACCTGCTCATAAATGAACCCACTCAATGTTAATATCTTCCACTGAGGCCCATTTAAGACTCTTAAAGCAAGTGTCAACCAAGGAAAATAAACATGGATATTAACTGAAATATCAGCTTTTTAAGCATCTCATTGATAGATTAAGTACCATCAAGTCGGTGTTGACTTTTAGCAACCATATAGATAGATTTTCTCCATGACAATCTGTCCCTAATATGGTCTTATAGGTCTTCCAATAGTGCTCCCATCATCACTGCAACTGAGTCTATCCACCTTGCTGCTGGTCATCCTCTCTTCTCTTTCCTTCCACCTTTTCCAGCATTAGAGCCTTCTCTAGAGAGCTAGGTCTTTGCATAATGTGTCTGAAGAACATCTCACTAAGATCCTTATATTTTCCAAGATATTTTTTTTAAAAATGCATCTTTAGAAATACTGGTATTTTTTTGGATTTTAAATGGCATTGAAAACCACCCTTTGGAAAATGTTTTGAAAGGGGAGTCCATTAATGCTGTAAACAAACAAACAAACACAGGGCTAAACTGGTATGACCCATAAGGGCAGCAGTGAAGTTAAAAGTAAATCTGTTACATTTCTCCTGCAAAGCCAAATGTATGCAACAGAGGAACAGAGTGACTTCACCTTCAACCATTTACACGGTTTCCAAATATGTTTGGCCACAACTCTTATCATCTCTAGAATAGAGACAGCCAAAGGAACAATAGCACAAGGCAACAAAATGGGAAGGAAGAAGATGAAACATAACAAATGTGCTTATGTGACATGTCAAGATGAAAAAGAAGGTATAGTCAGAAAACAGGAGTAAAGAACAATCAGTAACTGATGCAAGCCATCTACAGAATTCAAATATTAGATCCAATGGGTTCTGTATGATATGGACAGATTTTGCCTTCCAGCAAACATTTTTTTTAAAACATTAGGCTTCTAGATTTGACAGTGTGCAGGATGATTTCTTTGTCCTGCAAATGACTGCAAAGATGGATGTGGAGGGTAAGGGTTGATTATTTAGGTTATCTAGTCATAATTTAGTGCATATGAAAGAATGCATAATATATAACTGAAAGCAAATGATTAAATTCTCCATATGGGCACTAAACATGTTTGCTCTCTCAAACTGCTTTTAAAATTGAACAGTGTTTCAAAAGCAGCTGGTGATACAGAAGGGAATCCTCTCTTAACTGAAAAGTAAAATATTCCATGCAGCCAGTGAAATAACCTTTGTGTGAACTTAATTTGCTGTTTGGCTTTTAGATTAAGTTTTTGCCTAAAGCGCTGGGCAGCCAGAAGTTTAATGGGGCTGATTTGGATTGTCCTTTCTTTTACTTTGGACCCAATCTGGCTCACTAGCCTCTGAGTCAGCTATTTGTTAGAAAGGAATAAAAAATAGGATGCAGAACTAAATAATACGAATAATGTTGCATGCAGTTTGACCTTCATATTGAATAGATTACATTAAACGTCACAGAAGGCCACAGATGTTTTAAAAGTTTCTAAATATAGGCTTTAGCATGTTTTATTTTATTATTGCAGATTTCACTATATATCAAACAACTCTTCCTCCTCCTCCTCCTGAAGTCATTCACTTGCACAAGGCTGTAGTGTAGGTATTTGGTATTATAAAATCTGAATTCAGAAAACTATAATCTCATTTCCTCCAGTTGCAGTAGATGTCCATTAATATTTATGGCTACTACTGAAAAAATAAGCACAATATTGTACCTGTTAAAAAGCTGCATCAGGAGGGTGGTGACGGAACACCATGGATGGCTTTTCCAGGCAGCTTTTTAATAGACATCCTATGCCCAGCTAGGTAGGCATTGTCCTGGCCTCAGCCTTCAGGGCGGCTCTTCTGCAATTGCTCCCTTGAGTTCAGACCAAGTGGTTTGGGCTCTTGGCTGCTTCCTAGGCCCTTGCACAAAGTTCATTTCCGTTCCTCTATAGATCAATAGCCACAACTCATTTTGTTGTAATATTTCCAGTTAGGTTCCCCCCTCCCCCCACTCCCGTTGCTTGATGTTTCTCAATGTGGGAAGGAATCAATGTTGTGACACTATTTCACACTCTGAAACAGTACAGTCCATTCTACAAATTTGGGACTGTGTTACTGCTTTTACAGTACTGTATCTATAGAGTAGATAGAACTGAATTATTGCCCACTTTGAGTATAAATTCCCCTTTGAGTAAGAAGCAAGAACATCCTGCCAGTCCTGCAAGGCAGGAAAACCACTTACTTCTCAGGTCTCCTTTGTTACACATCACAGCAACCACCAAACTGAACAAGACCATTTACAATTTTGTACATCTGCATCCGGCCTACAGGCTAGAGGCTTGTCACCTCTAACTTGAGAGTAAGCAGCTTTGTTTTTATGATTAGTGCTTATTTTTAGACTCCTTTTTAACTGAAATATTTTTAAAGATAAAACAGCTTATGAGACCTATGTCCCAAAGGATTTCTCACTTGTGAACACATATCCCCTGGAAGAACTGTAAGACTAAATATGGTCTCCTATTGTCTTTCCTCACCCCGTGGTCCCTGTTTCCAGCAATTTTATTCTACAGTCCCCTTGCTTTGTTTAGATTATTTTATCATCTTCCACTTGAATTCCTCCCATATTTTTCACCACTTCTCTTATTTCTTTCCATCAATATGTGTGTGTGTGTGTCTATCATCTATCTATCTATCATCTACCAATCTCAGTTAAGAAGGGGGAAATAGATCAGTTGAGTTATTCTGTTTTGACTTGAAGGGCTTTTGGCTCTTATTTTATATCCCATGACGTGCATGGAATGGATCAACGCTAAAAGCACGAAGTGTAAATTCTACTGCTTCTCTGTTGCACCATTCCCTAATTTTGAGTTTGCTATTGGAATACCATATTAACTCTATATGCAGTTGGATATGGTATTTGAAAAAGAATGCATAGAGAAAGAAACATGATTTTGGCTCCCACAGTCTGCCAAAGGTCATGCTGAATACAGTTCCAAAAGAACAGGGGAATAGGCATGTGAGCAATAACAAATTCGACAAAACAACAGTGCGGTCACAGAACCATACTTCTGTTCAGCTCTAAAACTGCTGGAGAAACTAAATATTTAGCAGCACCTAAACACAGAACCCTCTGCTTCCCCCCCTCAACCCCCCTGCCCTTGTTAAATTATGACTTGTCATCTTTCAGAATAATCTTTAGAAGAATTAGAAGAATAATCTTCTTCATTTTGTAAGCTGTAGAAAAATTTGGTTACAATTCTTTATTTCACTTATAACCCATGTATCTAATTCCTTGCTATATCAAACAATATTTGTTTGGTACAGGAAGAAGCAACCTGCGACCCCAGGATATATTATTTTTTCTTTACTACACTAATATTTTTTTAAAAAGATATTTTAAATTTATTTTTAGGTGGCTCCTAAAAGCTCTTGTGTTTCCCACATTACTTTTTACCCGGGTTAAGTTTCCCAGTAATTGGATAAACAGTTAAATATACTATTCATATTCAGCTTCTGACCCACTAAAATAGCTTAGAACTATTATGGTTGTTAGACATGTGTCATCTTATTCCTGTAGGAATTCATTTCCTATTTCATGTTACTATGGAAGCAATTAGGGGCAGAAATTAGTATTTCATTCCTGAGTTTCAGGATTAGATTGTATTTGACTTATTAAATCCTCCCCACCCCTAGTCTTTGATGATTCCAGTGTTTTGGGTAAGTGGGATACACAGACAGAATATTCCCACCCAAGATGATCTCATCAGACCATGCTACTGAATCAGAAGGAATCTGATAGCACCTTTTCTGACTAAGAAAGTTAAATGTAAGAAAATTACAGAAAAGCTTATACCTCTTAATAAAACTTGTTAGTCAGAAAAGGTGCTATTAGAATCCTGTTATTTTGCCACCGTAGACTGACACATCATTCTTCCTACCATGCTACTGAATGAGATACCAAAAATGTAGATCACACTGGAAACTAGAAATCTAAAATGTATAGGTAGGAAATATTTTTATTAGACTTCCAAAATATGACAAAGGGGTGTACAAGCTTCTGAGTTCTTCAAAACTTTTCATTAGATCAGATGAGATCTATATTTTGGACTCAGTCTAAAGGTAGAAATTGAAGATTAAATGAATCACAGTAGCTGTTGCGGATAGCATTCTGGGATCTGAGAAGCCACAGAATTGTCGTAGATGGAAAGTATCATGGAATGCTTCTTTCAACAAGCCATATACCCTAAGCATTTTGTTCTTGTAGAAAAGAAAGATGGCCACCATATCACCTCTTGGTTTGTTTTTTTTTTTTTACTGTTTGAAAATACGGCTTTGCTTTAAAATTTATGTTAACATGGAGAAGTGTCTATAGTTTACCTACTGCATTTGTAGAAACAGAAATATGATTTGGCTGGTGGTCTTCCGGGCTGTGTGGCCGTGTTCTTGAAGTTTTGTTTCCTAACGTTTCGCCAGCAC